GGCGGGCCCGGGGCCGGTCCCTGCGGGCGGCGGGGCCGGGCCGGGCGGGGCGGCGGCGGGGCGCGCGCTGTCTCTTTAAGGGAGCTGGGTCTGGGGTGGCGCTTTCCTCCGCGAAGGCTCCTTTGATATTAATAGTGTTGGTGTCTTGAAACTGACGTAATGCGCGGAGACTGAGGTCCTGACAAGCGATAACATTTCTGATAAAGCCCCGATCTCCCTGCGATCTCCGGCGTCCTCCTTTCGGCGCTGCTCGCGTCTCCGGCCCCCGCTCGCCAGCCCGCCTGCCTATTTTTTCTCTTTTTTAAACAAAAAACAACACCCCCTCCCCTCTCCCACCCGACACCGGGCACATCCTTGCTCTATTTCCTTTCTCTTTCTCTCTCTCTCTCTCTCTTTTTTAATAAGGGGGGGGAGGGAAGAGAGAGGGGGGGAGGCAGGAAAGACCTTTTTCTCCCCCCCGCCCCCAAATAATCCAAGATCAACTCTGCAAACAACAGGAGACGGTTCATGGCTCTGGCCGCCGCGCCACCATCTTTCGGGCTGCGGAGGGTGTTCCTGACGATTAATCAACAGGTAAGGGGGGGAAGGCCGGGCCGGGGCCGGGCGGGGGGCGCGGGGGGCGCGAGGTCCCCAGCCGGGCCCGGGGAGCGAGCGCAGCGCCCGCCCGTGTGTGCGCGACAAACGTGGGCGATCGCGAGCGGGGAGCCCTGGGAATTAAAAGTGACTTTCTTTGAAAAAAAAAAAAGGCCGAGGGAGAGAGTGTGCAGAAAGCCCGGCGCAGGCTTCTCGGGTTTCACATGCATTTTCTTTCTTCCTTTTTGCGCGTGTGATTTCTTTCTTTCTTTCTGGGCTCCCCCCTTCTTCTTCTGCCTCCGCTGGGGCCGAGGGATCCGAGCCTTGGAGACCAGCGACTTCCAACCGCGGTAGCCCCTGGAGTCAGGAGGGTCAAGTTCAGCCGCCGGGGAGGAGGAAAAACAAATCCCCGTTTGCCAAAAAAAGAAGTTTCGGGCCGGCGCCCCCTCCCCCCGGCCCCGCGCCCTTCGCCGCCCGCTCCCCGGCGGGTCTTGAGTCTTTCCCACCCGGCGCGGCGAGGAGCCGGGGGTGGCTGCACCCGGGGCCGCTGCCGCCGCGAGTTTCGGGGGTCCCCTGGCCAGCGGGGCGCAGACTGGGCACCAGCATGCAGAGTAGTAAGTCGGGTGGACTCGGGAGGGAGGGGAGGGGCAGCGAGAGGGGCTTCGGTGCGGCCCCCAGTGTGTGGATCCTGCCCCGCGCTGGCTTTGGCTTGCAAGAGTTTGCAGAGCCAGGCTTCAAACTTTTTTCCCTTCAAGGCCCAGCTGGGCTTGGAGAAGGAGGGTGTCCCTCCCTGGGTGTCCCCGCACCCCCTCCCCGCCAAGCGGCTCCAGGCATCCGGGCCTGGGGGTCGGTGCCCTCTCCCCACCATGTGGCGGGGCCTCGCAGCCAGGGAGCTTCCGTATGGGCTGAGGAAGGGGCAGACTTCCTTTGCGGTGCGGGTGATGCGCCATGTGTCCCGCGGGTCAGGGGACACTGGCCGGTGATTAAATGCCTGACAGCAGTGGGACATCCTGGCAGACAGGCGCTTTGCCTTCTCTCTAGTTCCTGGTGGGGTTCTAAGGAAGACACATCTTTGAAAGGCCAAGGCAAACACCACTGTCCTTGCAAATAACCCCAGGATTATAGGACCCTAGGAATAATTTGAGGGCGAGGCAGAGGTGGGAGCTGTTTGAAGTGCAAAGCTTGTGTGTGTGTGTGTGTGTGTGTGTGTGTGTGTGTGTGTGTGTCTGGGAAGGCTTTTTGTTGTTGTTGGTAGTACCTGTCTGAGATGGTGGTGTTTCCCCCTTTCCCCAGGGAAATCAGTAACTGTTTTATGACACCAGGACTCTAAAGCAATTTAAGTTAGATGGCGAAGACACTGGTGGGTTTCAGAGAGAATCTAGGACTTACTAAATTTTAGGACCTGCTTGACTTCCCCATGTCTTTCTAGGCCTCAGAGTTTGATACTTTGAAAGTTTTTGGGTAAGAGTGGTGGAGCTTAATGATAAATCAAAATTATGATAGATTGTTCCTTCTTATCCTATTTTGGAAAATCATGGTAGAGTTTAAGCGAGGTAAGTGAAGTAGAAGCTTAGCGAAGTTAAATTGGAGGCAAGTTAGGCCTATTCATTGAACTTTTTGTAGATTTATTTAACTTTTGTAAACGCACCAGGTGAACAGGAAAGGGTCTGGGAGAGGTAACATGTACAAAAGAAAAAAAATACAGATGGAACCTGAGACAAAATTACAAAGAAGTGATAACTCTAGGCCTGGTTGTTGGCTAAAATCTGATTGTTCAAAGCAAAAATAAAATAGGAAACTTCCAACAATTCTTCAAAGTGCTCCGGCTCTGAAGCGAAAACCTATGGATCTTGCCGGCATCATGTTACTTTCCTGCTGGTTTTAGGAAAAGTTGATCATTTAGAAAAGCCTGCCAGAGTTAAAAATGCAAGGGACAGCAAGGAAAGTCATGCGGGCAGCCAATTCTTGACGTGGACAAAATGAGAATGAAAGTTTCTGAACGCACTGTTGTGAAGTTGCACATGCCGCTTATTTGCTTAGAAGGCCTTCTCAGATATTCCACCGGTTAATGTGAAAAGCTAACAAGATCTAAAATCGTGTGGTTTTTTTTTTTCCCCCCAAGTATGCCAGGGTTGTGAATAAATACAGGGTTTGTATGGGAAGATGAAGCGTTTCCTGTAAGTTGTGATGCTGACAGGACAGTCTGGAAATGATACCAACATAGTGAGGATTTTTTTTTTTTTTGCACCTTTAAGTGAACGTTTATTAATGATGTGCTTAATAGGAACGAGTCAAAGGTGTCATTCTTAGTGTCGATATCTCCATGGATATCATAACTTCCTAGTAAAGCTATCCCTTTGGATAAAAACGTCTCTAGATTCAGTTAAACACCCATGGCCACTAATGTGCTAAAGTTTGACAGTGATTTTTGGATGTTAATAATGTGAAGATAAAACTCCTGAGGGGAAATATCGTTTTAATGCTAGCATTATGACTCGATTTCTCTAAAGGTGAGGCTTCAGACGCTTCATTAGTATTCTGCTGGCAAAGTATTCACCACTGGCGAGCTGATGTTTATGACTTCCTGATATATCTGTTATATGTTAGGAGATATGTGTGTAGAATACTTTTACACATGTAATAACTAAGTCTGACACTAGATAAATGGTGGAACATAGCAAGTTCCTAACAGAAAGTTTGCCACTTCTTTGAATTCTAGATACTGTAAGGGTCTGGGCCACTATTTAGGTTTTGTCTTTTGTCTCTTAGAGGTAACATTAAAGGTAAGGAGAAAATCGTCCTAATAGCTGTGAATTCTGAGCTGATTTTAGAACTCAGCATGTTGATGACTAACCTTTTCAATAATTTTATAAAATTTTCTGCATACTTGCTTAAAAAACAGTTTAGGATCCAAATCAGTGTGTGACACATGCCCCTATCGTCTTTTCTGTGTTATTTAAGTCCTGTACCCTTCCTGAGTTTATTCTGATTTCCATCATGTGGCTCTCTCTAATACACATAAGGCAATCTTAATTCATAAGAAAAATCTTGAAAACAGGGAAGTGAATGCATCTGCAGAAAGGCTTCAAGTATTTCAATGATGGTCCTATTATTATTATTTTTAATAGTAGTAGTGGTACATTGTGTGTGTACAGAGATGCAGATCACAATTTGCAATTAATGAACTGCATATTTTAATTAAAAAAGAAACCCAAAGGGTGTTAGGTTTTAATAAAATCTAGTTTTACCTTCTTTGTTGAAATAAATAAACATTATTGAAAGTTTTAAGAGAGAGGGCTTGCAGCAAATTGATTTTGAACTAGAGTTTTATTTCATATTTGAACTTGGGATCAATATTGAGAACTGGCTTTAAACATTTTTCATAATGCATATATTTTAAAACAATTACTTTTTACTTAGTGCTCCTTTTGATAGCAAACAATAATCTAGCAACACTATGCTATTGTGTGTAGAAGAAAATAAACTTTAAGAAAGTTATGGGCAAGTAGCTATAACTGATATAAAGGGAAAATTATTATTTTTGTACTAAGTGATGTACTTAAAAGGAAATGATTGGCTCACATTAAAATATATTCTTATTAAGATTTCTCTGGTGTGTAAAATAAAGGCATTCATTCAACAGACTGACAACTTTCCACTTGGTATTTGCCTTTGCTTAATTTAGTTTCTGCAGGACAGCTAGTGTGGTAGTCTGCATCTGTTTTTGGCAGGCTTAGAAAACTATAAACTCAGACAGTTCTGCCCCAAATATTGCAGCTCACAAGTTACAATCAATTTGATAAAAACAGGCAAGATTTGTGGATTTGTTTTCTGTTGTTCGTCCTTGGTCAAGCTTTCAGGTAACAGGTTTCTTTTTCTCCCTCTTTTGCTGTTTATGACTACTAATTCCATTGATAACTAATTCTGAGTCTTGTCAACTTTTTTATCTTCCTTTTTTACTAGTTATTTAGATTTGGGGAAATAAGTGACAGCATGTCTAGACTTGGTTTTAGTTTGATGGCTTATCTATGTGATTACTACATTTGTCTTTTGATATCATACAGAAAGTAGTGAGTTCTTTGTTACTCTAATGGTTATGATTTATGGAATTTTTGGGTCCCCTTTAGATATAATATGAAGATGCTTTTCTAGCCTTTGTCAACTAGACATTTACTCTGATTCTTTAAGGATGCTTGCCATGTACAGAAAAGACAAGCATACTTTGCAATTATTTACATCTTGAAAATTGGGCAAAGTTTTAAAAATAAGTTGCAAAATAATGTATCCTTTAAAAACTTTAGCCAGTGGATTAAAGTAAATATGCTAAAATACCGAGTACTGTTTTATAGCACCGTTCTGTAGCAGACAGTGCTGCAGAGGGAATGACTTAAAAAAATTTATCCTTGAATGCAAGTAGGTTTAAAGCCATTTGTTTATTTGTGTGAAATATTCTATTAATTATATATGACCCTTATAAATAATATCTCTAATTTTATTATGATCCCCTTTTGAGCTGTCATAGCACTCAGTGGCTTTCATGTCCGGAGACTGAATATGTTGGTCTTCGGTTTGTTTCTCCACTGGGCACAATCATTTAGAACTTGACTTAGTTTAGAAAGAGACAATTGAGCGTAAGGAAATTCCTTTACTGAATTTTCAGAAGGATCTACAGGTGAAAATTATTTGAATTGTTAAGTGTTAGACGAAGAAGCCTGTCAGATCATTGCAACCATAGTGGTTATTATAGCAGCGATGTCGACTTTTTGTTATCCCACCTTTTTTCCCCCAAGAGCACAAATCCAAGTAGCAAAAACAAAGATGAAATTATCTATGTATTTCAAATTTGAAGCATCACTGGAGATCATTCTCTAATTCAAAGTTATACAAATACCATTGAAACACCCCAAAGAAGACATTATGGATACACTTGTCGTTCTTAAGTACGTTTCACTGAAAATAACAATAATAAAACTTTTAATTTTTAAAATGTTTCTAGCTCTTTAAAAACCTGCAGTAAATACTTTACAAGTGGCTAGACACCTTCCCTGGTGGTTTAGTTTATACAAGCAGGAAACTTTCTCTCCTACTCTTTCTCTCTCTCTTTCTTGTTTTCTTTAAACCAACTGACGTAATGCCAAACTTTGCTTTAAAAGAACAGACAGAAGTAATTGGTAGCTTTTAACTTTTAATAATGTTCTGGATTGGTTTTAGTGGCCAAAATGCCATTTAAAAAAAAAAAAGTTCAAGTAAGAACGGGCTTGTGGCCTGAGGAAGAAAGGCTCTGTTGATGCAGTTATTTTTATTCTTGTTTTTCAATCTGTTATTAAAAATCTTTCCTGCTGAGCACTGCTGGATTTCTCCAATTGCTCTTTGTGATGGCTGGTGCATTTCAGGTTACCGTAACTTAAACAGTTTTTGGGTTTTGGGGAGAGTGGGTATTTGCGTTGTGTTATTTCTTTCTTATTTGGAAAAAAATAGATTTGTTTTTGTTTCTGTTGAGATTAATTAATTAAGGTTATCAATGGCCACAGGTCAATGAATATGTTTATATAAAGAATGCGACACCTGTTAGCCAGAGACTAAAATGTGGAAGTTTAATCGTGACATTAATCAT